CTTGGCCACTTCTCCTTGCAGGTGCAAAGCGTTCCTTGCAGGTGCGAAGCGATTCCGCGCGGCCACACCTCCTTCCGAAGCTCGCGCAGGGTTTTGTGGTCGCGACGCGAGCTTTCGTTCGGGTATTGCTCGCGCCCATGCCAGCGAAATGCGTGACGCGCCAGACTATCGCTGCACCGGCGTTAAGATAAATTGTCCTAGACCCGTGCGCGCGTGTTGACTGCCGATCGTGGTCGACCGTTCAGACAAATCCCTCTCCTCATCCGGTACAGCGTCGAGAAGAAGGAGGATCGAGGATCGCGAGGATCCAGGATCCAGATTTCTGGACGTTGCAAAGGCATGGGACCTGTAGAGACCTTCAGGGACGCGCTACTCCTCCTCCTCCTCCTCGCCCGTGGAAGTGTGCAGAAGTTCGCCGGGAGTTCTTCAGGGTCTCGGACCCCATGGCCACGAAGTTCTTTTAGAACCTCTCGAGATTTCCAGGTATTTCTGGAGACAGTCGGGGGACCCGCGGAGGCAGAGTGCGGATCGGAAGAGTGGGGATGTAGTGCGCGAGACCGCGTGTGGCTTGTCTGCTGGGAGTTGTTCTCCCCCCTGCCCCTGCCCCCCTGGCCCTTCGCCAACGTGGACCCAATTCGGGACAGTTCGGTGGTGGGCCAGGTCGGTGGCAACGACCAGTTCAGAGCGGGGAGCTGCGCGAAGATCACCACCCACCACGTTCCTCCTCCCTTCTCTCATCTCCCTCACCTCCCTTGCCACACCTCCCTTGCCCCACTAGAGACAGGTCAGAATCTCCCCGAAAACATGCTGCGGAAGAGTACACGTGCACGCAGCAGATATCAGGCTGACGTGTACATGGCAATACGGCACATAATGGTTCGACACGGATATTCCCATATGTGCATCGTGTTGTTTTGGTTCTGAATTGTTTCCATCAGTGCCCATGGCTCTGATCGCATCTTCTTCTTTTTGTCTGGCGTGTTTCCATCAGTGTCCACGGTTCTGAGAAGAGATCCGTTCACGGGGCCGAAGCAGGCGTCTGGAGAGAGAGGTGTCCATAACCTGGGCGCGAGCTGGCCCGTCTCGTCGACACCCCTCTGGATGGCTCAGATGATTGTGGGGCTCTGAAAATAGATTCGCCAACTGGGCCACAGCGGGTGCCTCGCCTGAAAGGTCCCCACAATCCGGGCGCCGACGGTCCCGTGACACACGCCAGGTCCAGGAACGTCCACTCACAGGACCTCTGGAGACCCCAGGGACACCCCGGGGTTGCATGCCCATTTGGCACGAGGAGGATCCAGAAACTGCCAAAAAGAATGAGTCTGGGGGCGACTTCTTCTACCATCTTCTGATGCTGCTTGAGTTGGTTGGCTTGCCTACGTTTCGTGCCTCTTCCAAGCTCCGCCCCGGCCCAGCCCCCCGCGGGGGGGAGCAAGAGCACAGTCACCCGTGGGGCGTCCTGCGAGAGCCGCACGGGCGCCCCGGAGGGCCCTCGTGCAGGTCCTATGGGGCCCCGCGGGCCGACCTGGCCCTTGGCGAGCCCGCGCGAGGGGGTCGAGCGCCGGGAGGCTCGGGGGCGGAAAAGAGGGGGGTGAGGACTAGGGGGGGGTGGAGGAGGAGGAGGAGGAGGAGGAGGAGGAGGAGGAGGAGGAGGAGGAGGAGGAGGAGGAGGAGGAGGAGGAGGAGGAGGAGAGGGGGGGTGGATATCATGGCGGGGGCCATGATATTTTCCCAGATTTCATGGCGCCCCTTCTTATTCCGTTACGTCCCTGGCCCCCCCGCTGGGCCGCGCACAGGCCGCCGGTCATGATTTGCACCCCCCCCCTCCTGGACACCCCCCTCTTGGCCGCTCCCGAGAGGCGACGGCAGCGAGGAAGGGACCCCGTGGGCGGGCACGACACGTTCGGAGGCAGGCCATGGGAGCCTGGTGTGTACCCTCGTGACTCCGCCTTTCGCGTCGGCTCGCGTCGATCGGCGGCTGGGAGTCGAGGGGGCAGCCCCGATTATTCAGCGACGATGGTGATCGTTCTCTGATGCGTGGTTTTGCCGATCGGCGCGGGCCCTCGCACCCCTCCCTCCCCCCCCCCTCCCCCATGGAGTAGATCTTGGCCGGCTTGGGCGCCTGTTTCGAGCAGGCGGAGCCTCTCCACCACGAGACGCACTGCTGCAAACAGTCGCATCAAGCAGAGGTCCGGAGCCAGACCCCCCCCCCCCTCCCCCCCCCCTTCCGCCCAATGGCGAAACACCGAACATGAAAACGCCCACATAATGGAGGATGACGATTAATAAATGACCGGGGGTCGTGTTCGTGTTCACGCGGCGGCGCCTGGGATGACGATTAGAAAAAAGACCGGCCGCGGGCTGGAACACTATTCTTTTTTGAATCGTTCTCCTCCAGTCAGAAAGTTATGCAGAAATGGCAGAAAACTATTCTTTAATCGTTCCCCCCTCATTTTTTATTAATCGTCATCCCGCATTAAGGACGAACAGCCAAGGGGCGGGCAGTGCACGTACTCGCCCGGGAGCCTCGCCGAGGGCACGGAGCATCGCCGCCCCTGGACACGCGGACTGCTCTCCCCGGGGGCCACTCGCCCCGTCGTCGCCCCTCCCCCCCCCCGAGAGAGCCCGGTCGCGATGTCTTCCCGGGCACGTCGCGCGCGGCCTCCACGCCGTCCCATAGACCGGGTAGTCGAAGGCCAGACTGTCAGATTGGATTGGGCCCCAAGGGCCAATCTGGCCTGGCCACACTGGAGGATTGGGGTTGTTCGCCAGGCTGGATTCGCGTTGGCTCCCTCGTCAGATTGCCCCCGTCTGCCAGATTGGGCCTGCCAGATTGGCGCCAGATTGGCTTCGACTACCCAGATAGATCTCCGCTGAGCTGTTTTGTTGTCCCCTCCGCCAGCCCCCAAAGCGTCGACGTCTTCCCCGGCGGGCAGCCCGTCGCCCTTGGGCCCATGTCTGAGGGCGCCGCGCCCGAAGACGACCCCCCCCCCCCCCCGGAGGCAAAGATTTTTCGCAATCTCGCTGGGGCTCCAGGCCTCCCGGATGGGATCGGAGCAGAAAGGGTTGGAGGCTTGCGCCGCATCGCCGATGCATCGCCGATGCGGCTCCATGTGGAGCCCGATGTCCTTCACGCCGAGGGCGCCGATGCATCGCCGGCGTCGCTAGTACATCACCAGTGCATCGCCGATGCGGCGCGACCCTCCGACCTCATCTAGGAGGCCTCCAGAGACGGGTAAGCCGCCAGAGCGTCATGGCCTCCCCGTCAAAGCGGTCGGCCCTCGGACATCTCCCGTGGAGAGCGTCTGCGGCAGGACTTCGATAGGAACTCGGCCGTGGCGACGAGAAGCACCTCCCGGAGGCCCGAAAAAAGGGCAGCAGACTTCCAGTAACTTTGGTTCGAGCGATCCCCACCTGAGAGCGCGAGGCGGGACCTCCAGGTGCGGTCGCCATCCGTCGGCGACACGAGGCGGGATCTCCAGGGAGCACCCGCAAACTTTTGGGCTTGGCGGCCGCGGTATGCATGCTGTGCGAGCCTGGGCGTCCCAAATGGGGTACGGGTCGACGGGGTCGGAGGATAGCGTCGCATCGCCGATCCATCGGTGATGCGCCTCGATGTGGAGCCCATTATTAAATCGCTTCGCTTATTCCGCCGGTACATTTCGCATCATGGTGACTGCATGGTGGTGTGTTCGTGCCCACGGGGAACGGTAAGGCAGCCAGGATCATCCTCGAGGAGATCTTTGGAGATGTGGTTCGCACCTTGTCGAAGAGAGCCGATAGAAAAAGGCGCCAAGATGGCTCAAGAGAGCTCCAGCAGAGTTTCGAGACGTACCTGGTTTGTGGGTCAAAGTCCTCGTGGATGCTTCTTGGGGTCTCCTGGAAGCGCTCTCAGGAGCCTCTGGGGAGCAGTTGTGAGGCCTCTGGGGAGCCTCTTGGGGGCTTCTTGGGGGCCTCTTGGGGCCTGGGGACATGTTGGAAGTCTTGGGGGCCTGTTTTGAGGCCTCTCGTGGCCTCCTGGGTGGCTCTTTGGGGGCTTCTGGGGGCTTCCTGGGCGCCTCTTCGAGCCGAGAACGAGATGTCTGTTCGGGTTCCCCAGCTCCTCATCGGGACATCCTGGTGTCGTCTTGGAGGTCTCTTGGGCCGTCTTAGAGCCATATCGGGCCCTTTGGGGGCCCTCTCTGAGGCTTTCTGGGAAGTCTGGGAGTCATCGTGGGGCACCTCTTGGGCCTTGCAGGGCGGTCGGCGGCTCAAAGAGGCGGTACCGTCACAATCGTCAGATGTTTGCGTTCGGGGCCTTTCGAAGTCCTCTTGGGACCTTCCCGGAGCTTCTTGGGCGCCTCTTGAGCCGTCTTGGAGCCAACCTGGGCCATCTCGGAACGCTCTTGGCCTGAGGTCGTGGCGCGTGCCACCCTTTTGGCGCCTCACTGGGGCGCTCGGGGGCCCCCGAGGCCGCGCCCAGGAGCTCCGGCATCTCTGGCCCGACCCTGCCGGGGCAATTGTCGTCTGGGGACCCCCAGGGGCCGCCACGCGCGCGCGAACTAGAAGCATTCTCGAATTGCCACCGGAGATTTTCGCACGCCGCTGGCCCGTTGGGCCGGCGAATTTTTCTCTCCACGCCGACGGCGCCGAGGCATCGCCGACGCGCCGCGATCCTCAGACCCCCTTCGCTCCCCGACCCTCGTCCGCAGCCAGACCGCGCCCGCGAGCGCCCTCGCTCGAGCCGTCGGCGCCTCCGGCGCGGGCGGCTCGGACATAGGGCCGGGCCGGACGAACGGGGGGGAGGCACGGGGGGGGTCCAGAGCAGCTCCACGAGGTCCGCGCGGAGCTCCGAAGGTTGGAGGTTCTGCAGAGCTTCCTTCTTCTAATTACCCCCCCCCCTCATGAACCTCCGAGAAAATGGGCGTGCGGGCATCTGTGCCCACGTGTACGTGTGCTCCCCGGGCGACTTTCACCTCCGATAGCCTCCCTTGGCGTCCGACCGCGAGGGTGCCCGCACCATGGCGGCCGCGGCGGGCGCGGCCGATGCGGAGCTGCGGCGCGAGGTGGAGGCGCTGCGCGGAGAGGTCGCGGCGCTCCGCAAGTCCGCGGAGGTGTCGAGGAAGGATCGGGGGCGGCGGCGCGACCTCCTCCTCCTCCTCCTCCTCCTCCTCCCTCCTCCTCCTCCTCCTCCTCCTCCTCCTCCTCCTCCTCCTCCTCCTCCTCCTCCTCCTCATTAGGCCATTCTCCGTTGGCCTCTCTGGAGCTCCGCGCTTTCTTGGTCCTGTCTGTCTGTCTGTCTGTGTGTCTGTCGGTCTGTCGGTCTGTCTGTCTGTCTGTCTGCCTGGCTGGCTGGCTGGCTGGCTGTCTGGCTGTCGTCTGTCGGTCTGCCCTGGCATTGCACATCCGGCAGGGTCCGAGCTTCGCTTCAGCTTGCTCCTGGACGCGCCAGCCACTGCCGCCCTCTCCCTTGCATATGGCCCTGACGAGGTTGGGGGAGAGGTTGCCGAAACGCGCCCAGAGCCCAGCAAGGCATGAGGGTGCAAGCCCAACATGTCTGGTTGATGGTCTTGGGGGGGCCTGTGCTCAGGGAAGGCTGCAGCACCGCTCAACGATGTGCGGTTTGACCGAACCTGCAGGGTGGGCCCTTTCCATTTGAGGGGGTCATCCCGATCTTCTGCATGGGCCATTCTGCGCTGGCCTCTCGCGCGAGCGCCTCCTCCTCCTCCTCCTCCTCCTCCTCCTCCTCCTCCTCCTCCTCCTCCTCCTCCTTCTCCTGCTCACTCCTCCTCACTCCTCCTACCTCATCCTCCTCCTCCTCCTTCTCCTCCTCCTCCTCCTCCTCCTCCTCCTCCTCCTCGTCCTCCTCCTCCTCCTCCTCCTCCTCCTCCTCCTCCTCCTCCTCCTCCTATCCCAAACATGAGATGGCCAGGTATCGGGTCCTGCGCGCCCTGGTCCTCTCGATCCCTTCCCTGGGACAGGCGCTTCGCCCCCGAGTTGTTATTGACAACATCGGGGCCGGAGGACGGCCTTCAGAGGCCGACGATCACGCCGGGTAACTTCAAGTCGGGCCTGTTCCCTTACAGGGGGAATGTTCAAACATAGTTTTTTAAAGAAAAGAGTCTGGGGACGGGACTCGAGCCACGACGTCGGAGTTCTGAGCCCCCGTGATGTTTCACCAGAGGCGCTGCCCAAGAGCCCCCAAAGCCTTGACACTGGAGCCTCCACCGTCGACCTTCGATCCTCGAACCTCCTCCTCCTCCTTCCCCTCCTCCTTCCTCCTCTTCCCCCTCCTCCTCCTCCTCCTCCTCCTCCTCCTCCTCCTCCTCCTCCTCCCTCCTCCTCCTCTCCTCCTCCTCCTCCTCCCTCCTCCCCATTCCTCCTCCTCCTCCTCCTCCTCCTCCCCATTCCCCCTCCTCCCCCTCCCCCTCCTCCTCCTCCGCCTCCTCCTCCTCCTCCTCCTCCTCCTCCTCCGCCCCCCCTCTCCTCGCCGAACGGATACCCAGAACCACCGCCGGGGGGCACCGATCGGCGGGCGCTGGAGCTGGCTACTGTCGGACCCCGATGTCCACCGCGCGCCGAAGGGGCCCCCGGCAGGTCGACCCTCTTCGGTCGGCAGTTGCGGACGAACCGCCGCCTCGCAGCCTCGAGGAGGAGGAGGAGGAGGAGGAGGAGGAGGAGGAGGAGGAGAAGGAGGAGGAGGAGGAGGAGGAGGAGAAGGAGAAAGGAAGGAAGGAAGGAAGGAAGGAAGGAAGGAAGGAAGGAAGGAATGAGGGAAGGAAGGAGGAGCAGGAGGAGGAGGAGGAGGAGGAGGAGGAGGAGGACCCTCGATCCCCGACCCTCCCCCTCAATCGTCGAAGGGGATGCGTTGTTCATGTGCTGCCCTGTCCTGTGCTACCCTGCCCTTTCGCGCCCGCTCCCTCTCGTTCGCCTTTCTCCTCGCCTCTCGTTCGTGGCCCTCGGTTAGCCCGTTAGCCCCGTTGTTACAGCTTACAGCGTTGTAGGCTGTCCTTGCGAGAGTGGACGATTGTTCCAACCACCGTGAGCACCAGCAGCAGCCCCCCCGATTGACGAGCCTCTCCTCCTCGACGCCTCGCAGGAGAAATAAGTCGGGCATGGCCTTCTACAGGAGGAACATCCCGGAAGCGTCAAAAAGGAACATCTCTACTTCTGAATATGGACTGGCTCGTCTTATTTTTCTTCCAGAATCCGCCTGCAGGAGTTGGCGGCGCGCACCAGGGGGGGCAGGGGGAGGGGGGGAGGGCTTCTTAGAAGGAGGCTGCCTCGTAGGAGGCGCCGCGCCTCATACCTGAAGAGGAGGCCTGGGCCTTCTAAGAAGCAGGGGTGTCTCGGTCCAAGACATCCGACGTCTTGATTTTTTCGAGACACGGGCCCCCGACCTCCCGACCACTTCCCTAGGACCGGTTTTTCATCCCGAGTGTTTTTGGACGGCCCCGAGGCCCGGCGAGGGCCCCGAGAGGCCAAAGACTGCGAACAAACCTCCGCCTCGATGTTTTTCGAGGCGCCCGATGTCTGGGCCCTCCCCCCATCCCCCCCCCCTGCGCGTGGCTGTGGGAGGACACGCCCGACCCCCACAGGAGAACCTGCTGCTCCGCAGCCGGGTGGCCGAGCTGGAGGCGCGGCCGGCGGCCGGCGGAGGCCGGCCCCCGCGGGCCGCCGGCAGGGCGCCGGCCATCGGGGAGGACCTGTGCGATCGAAATGGGCACTCGGGGGAAAACAAACCTCCCTCGCTTTTGACCACCCTCGCTTCCAAGAGATGCCAAACGGTGCCAAATTGCGGCCTGTACTGGTCAGGCCGCTTGACGAGGAGGCGCGTAGTCTGGCTTGGTTTTGCCTGGAAGCGAAAGCGGGGGAGGTAATTCACGCTCTGAGGTACGGCGAGCAGTCAGGAGGGGAAGTAAAACGACGCGAAGGTCGGGCCAAAATCGGATCGGGACGGCTCGAAATCTCTGAGGATCGGCGGGCTTGGGGGAGGTATTGGGCGCCGCGGCCGCTCCAGAGCGTTCCGGAACGCTCTGGAGCGATTTATCCCGATCCTAGCCCTGTTAAACAATAAACACAGACACAATGGGTCGTCGGCTCCCAGAGAATAGGGGGCAAGATGGGAAGTGGGGGGGAAGACAAAAAGGCCCCGAAAATATGGGAGACATATGGGGAATCCGGTTCTTGGCGTGTATTTATTTGTGTGTCCCAGGGCCCCTTTAAGTATGGGCGGGGTGGGGGTAGGGACAAGGAGGGGGCAACGATAGGGGGGGGGGTAGGCACAGGAGGGGATGCAGCGACCCCCAATCGCCCATGCATCGCCGAGAGGGACCCGATAGCCCCAACCTGCCCAGGGAGGTGCAGGTTCGCTGTCGGAGGCCTATCGCCGATCTATCTGCGATGTATCGCCGATCCCAGGTCGATGCATCCCCCCCCATGCCACTTTCCCTCTATCGATGCCCCCCAGGACATGGGCGCAAAGACCGACAGCATTAGAAGAAGAAAAACCACACGAACATAAACTTTTGGCGCTCCGCGCGGATTTCTTGGATCCGCGTTGGGCCCCCCCTGGCGGCGCCTCTGGCGCCGCTCCTGGCGCGCTCCGCGCGTCAGGGAGGGGGGTCCAGCGCGAATCCAAGAAATCCGCGCGGAGCTCCACAAGTTTATGTTTATGTGGTTTTTCTTCTTCGAATTATCAGAGGAGGAATGGGGACCCGTAGCTTAGAGGGCCGATGCCAAACGCCGTGATCGCGTCCTGACCAAAAGCGTCCATGGACACATTGGGCGCCGTGACGTCCACAGACACTTTCAGGGTGAATACATCTATGAACAACGTGGCCGTTGCGTTCGGCGATGTGCAAGGGTAGATCCGTCTACTGTCTGTTCCTGCTCTAGAGAAGGTCCCACGATCGAAATGGGTACGGCAAGCATGGGTACAAAGGCCGACAGCATCATTCGAGCAGTGGAGAAGCGTCCTGGCTTGCCTATAGGCCTACCAAAGAATGTTCTAAGAAGATTTTGTGGTACGCACGAAATTCCCCAATCAGTGCTTGCACTGAAGGGGTCCTAGCGGAAGTTGAAAGATTTGGCGAAAGTTCCCGCCGATTTTGGTAGCAACCTGAAGGCCCTCGGCCTTACTAATTGTTAGCAGCACATGTAAGTAGGTTATAAGTAAGTTGCAACTAGGTTGCAAGTAAGTTATAACCATTAGTAATGTTACTAAGTCGGCTAACTCGGGCGGTGCATTTGGAGGTAGATAGCTTGAGTTAGCGAAGTTGCTAACTTCGCTAACTTTTACATGCTTACGTGAAAACAGAGCTGCTGCATCGGGTTTTCCTTGGATGTTGCCTCCAGAAACGCATGCATGTGTTTGGATTTTCGGGATCACGCATATCGGAAATCATGATCCAGACTTGCGTGCGAACGCATTCAGAATATTGTATCGAGCGTTACAAGAATGTTGTGCATTGCAAATGCAACATATCATTTCGAATTCGCAACCCTCTGTTGCACATGTTTTTGAATGTCACTAGAGTTTGGGCTCCAGCCCTTTGGGCGAGGATTGCTGCTGGCGCTTGTGGCGTCCTCCTGCACGCGGCGTGATGAACGCCTCCCGTGAACAGCAGATCGCGGAGGTCCGCCCCAAGATGATGGCCATCAAGGACATGTACTTGCATCCTGATGCAGCGGTGGTCTCATTACTTGAAGACGTATGCAGCATTGCAAGAGGCATAGACTGCCTGAGGGTAGAAAAAATACACTCGAAGTATATGATGGTGTGCACAGAGAATCGTTACGGAGATGGAATCATTCCGAGCGAGGTTATGGATTTGATTTCCAAGATCTTCAAAAATGGATTCAAGAACTCAGCCCTCCAGAATCCAGCTTGCATGGAACTTCCACCAGTGGGCACGCCTGAGTACAATGCAATCAAGAACTTCAATTTCAAAATAATGGAGGACTCAGCGGGCCAGCTGCCGCAGTATGATTGCGATGCAAAGTTCGCATCCTATACGTGCGGCCACACATCCATGGGTTTGCGTTGCATCAACGCAGGGGTTCCAGTACCCGCGGTCATGCCAGAGCGTTTCGACAGAGTCTCGCACCAAGGGAAATTGTCACTGACGAGGTTACGGGAGGTTCAACCAGACTACGCTAAGGCGTGTGACGAAGGAATTGAGTGGAAGGTCTTTCGGTACGAGTTCGTGAAGGAGTTCCCGTGGATTAGTAATCTTGCTCAGGAGGCTGGCAATGCAGGCCAACAAATTGCCAGATGCGAATCTCGCATGAGTCTCATGTACAAGATCGCAGCAATTGCCAACCGACACCACACGGGTGGCACCATGATCGATTGGGATAGTGTGATCCGCGAGGCGACTCGCGCAGGCTCTCTCTTTCCTGGGGAGATCGATGGCTTAGTAAAATATGTGAAGGAGTTGTCTGGCGGCCTCGGCAACCCGATCTTTCTGAACGAGCTTCGCGACTTCTCGCGGCAGCTGACCTCCCAGTGCGCGGTCACGGGTTCAATGGCGAAGTCTCTCGCCGAGGTGCAGATCAAGCATGAGGGGGCCGCTGCGACATTCAAGCTCGCATGCATGAAGGCGATGACATGTGCGACGGGTAAGTTCGCGAGGGATGGCCATCAGATGCTTTTGAAGCCAGGCGACGTGACCGCCTTGTCGAGCGATAAGAAGTCTACGATTGTAATGGTGGCCGATGAATTTCTTCAGAAAGTGCGACAGATCGCATGCGGTGAGGGCATCACGGCAGACACGGTCGCCTACGGCACCATCGTGGGATTGACTGACGTTCGCGTAGTTCATTTCGTGTTCAACAAGCCCGATGAGCGCTTAGGCACTTGCAAGACGCTGAATGACATCGGGGTCAGCTTCACCACTGCGTTGGCAACGCACGTTGGCAAAGCAGTTGCTAGCCCATGGAAGCAGATCGGTCGCGAGGGCGCATCCAAAGCCGTGACAGGGCAGGCGCGTAGCTCAGATGTGAAAGAGTACACCGCTTCGGGCAAGTGGTCGAACCAAGTGGACAAGCTCAGTGACAAGGGGTTTGAGGTTGGCGCCAAAGTCGCCTTGGCGAGCGACACCTTGGGTGAGAACATTTACGAGCTGATCTCCATCGACGCTGCGACTGGCGTGAAGTTGAAGCTTCAGGCCACGGGCAGTGCGACATGCCACCCCATCGACGACTTCTTACGTGGCAAGTTCGTCGTGTCCACGATTATGAAGGACAGTCTTGCGACCTCGTCGCAATGCATGTGGAATGCATATACACCCCCACACCTTTGAATTCTCGTTCGTCGTTCCCTCATCTCATTTGGCTCTGCGTCGTCATGTCTCATCTTTTTTTCCCGCTGCTCCCCCATAGAGGAAACGATCGACAAGTTCGCTGATCATGGCCCCCTCAAGTCTGTCGATTACCAGTGGGGTATCGAGGAGGCCAAAATCAGGCTGGCCTTGGATGATGTATACAGCCAGAACGGCAACTGTCTCAAGTACTTGAGTGGCGTGATTACGCCTGTTAAGCTTCGTGCTCTCACCGTAACGCGTTCGTTTGAGGCTGAAGAGCTGGTGCTTGTCCCACTCTCTTCGGCAATCTACTTGAAGAAGCAGACTGATATAGTTCAGTGTGGGCATGTGTTCATGAAGACATACAAGGACCCCAAGGGGTTGACGTTCAATATCGTGTTGGCCCCCAGTGGTGGCATCAAGATGCCTAAGGCTGAGACGAACACTGGCGTTGGAGGGCTGAAGCAGGCACCGTCTTCGCTCGTCATCCCCTTCTGGCTCGTACAGGATTCAGGTGAGCACGGCACCCCCAACATGAAGCTCAAGGCCGTCAAGTCCACAGCTGTCCCATCAGTGCATGTACCAATTTTGACAAACAAGTGCGCCATCAACAAGGGCGATGTCCTTAGCGCCCAGCTGGCATCGCTCATGCCCAAGCGCAAGGTAGACGATGTGCCTGCTGCGCCCGCGGCTAAGAAGGCCAGGAAGCGATGAGGCTCGCGTGTTGGCAGCATCGGTTACACATACCATGTGTCGTGGGGGGTGTTTATGAAATGTATGAAAGCATCGTCGGTATCGTTCCTCTGCAATCGTTGCATCATTGCGTCAACACGCATCGGACTCGTCTGCAATTGTCCATTGCATCGGCCCGCAGGCGTTTGGCTGATCTGCGCACGCACTGCAGCTGCAGATGGCAGTGAGCGTGCAGCTCCGCACGGTCATCGAGGGGGGCGGCCTTAAGGATCGCGAGCCATGGGTCCCGAGGGCGGTGATGCATACGGCAGGGGGGCTCTTCGTGGAGCTGTCGAGAGCGGATAGGCAGCTGCAAAAATTTATATCTGTGCCCAACCCCGCCAAGAGCCAATCGCCTCTGGCGACAAATTCGTTTTTCGATCAGATCTTGAAGATGCGCAACGCCGCTTGCACCGAGGCCATTTGGGACCACTTGAAGCAGGCCGACCCATTGCTTCAGCAAGATTGCGACAGGGCCAGCGTCATTAAGAACAATAGGAGTTCCCTGGATATGTCGCAATCGTGGACGCTTCGCGTATTCCCACCAGGGGAGGAGGAAGGAGAGGAGGAGGATGATACATTGGATGATGAGGTGGAGTGGCGGGGGAGGGGGGCGAGGAGGAGGGGCTGAAACAGAGGGGGATGGTGGAGGAGAAATGGGAGGA